TTTAAAGATGAACAATATTGACGCCAACTTTCTCTTTTAACCTTTTTGAATATTTGTTTGGCCTTCGCGTCAAGTTTTTTAAAATTAAGTAAGTTTTCGAGGTTTGGGTTTGTCTGATATAGTCTAAAACTATCCTTACGTTTTTCTACTGCTATAGTACATTCATTGGTCCACCATGGTTTTCCTTTGACATTATTTTTGTTTTCATATTTCGGAATAGAAGCTTCAGCTGACTGGTTAACATTTTTGATGAAAGTGCTGTAATCTATAACAGGTTCTACATAAGATCTATTTATACTCTCGAAACAGAACTGATTCCAGCAAGCTTTGTTTATGTTCCATTTTCTATTTGATGCAAATGACAATTTTTCTGGAGTAAAATTACAATTGATAAGTATAGGCAAATGATCTGAACCACATGGGTCTGGCAAGGTTCGCCATTCTAGCTGATGATGAATTTGAGGTGAACATAATGTAAGATCTATTGCTGATTTTGATTGATATTTTACATAAGTTGGATCTCCTTTGTTGATAAAACTGAGATTACTGTCATCTAGAGCTTCAATCAGGATTTTCCCAAATACGTCATCCTGAGCACAACCCCATGAAGTGTGATGTGCATTAAAATCACCTCCTATAATACATGGACTGTGTAAGGAACTAAAAAATTGTATCCATTCCTGTTTAGTGATTTTGGTTTGTGGTTTAATATATACTGATACGAATGTAATATCTGAGATTCCTTGAAACTTTACTGTAGAACATACTTTCATTATTTTATTACAAGCAACTAATGATATTTGAGAATATTTTAAACTATTTCTCATCAGTATAGCCACTCCTCCTTTGCCATCTGACCGGTCTTGACGGATAACGTTATAACCTTTAAATTTTACATATGTATTCATTTTAAACCAGGTTTCAGACAAAAGTGCGATGTCCACATTTTGTTCTTCTAAAAGGTGTTCCAAATTACCTTTATTTGCTATAGCCGATCTACAATTCCATTGACATATCCTCAAAAAATTCATTGTGGTTTCTAAATGCATTGTATAGATTCTATTTTATGTTTTTTATAACGTGCGAACACCTTGGTAAAAGTGTAAAATGATTAAAAATATACTGTAATTTTCTTAATTCTTAAATTTATTTGTCTATATTTAATCTTTCTCTTATGAGATTAGTTATAGTTGATTTATTCAAGCTGTTAATGTTTGTTTCTCTAAAATTTGTAAGAACAAATATAACCAATTCTGAAACTTGTTGGATGAACGTCTCATCTCTCGTATTAAATTCATGTACACAGTAACTGGGGTTATTAGTGATACCCCCGGGTACCTGTGGAGTGTTTATTTGACTCACAATTTGTCTCCTAGCTTCTTCTGTCAAATCTGGCGAGGAAGGCGAGTTCCGTTTCAAAGGTTTAGACAACCTTTGTGTAAAGTGCGAATTCGCATTTGGAATATTTATTGATGTTTGAGCTTTTGTTGACTGAGATGGAAGATTAGAACTATTGATTTCTTGAGGCGTAATGGGATTATTTTTGGTAACTGAAGCATATGTGGTTTTTGGGACCGCATTGTTTGAGTCTCTAAAAGAAGAATTAGTCATTGCCATATGCTTTTTAATTGCCTTTTGCCTCTCAAATTCATTACATTTTGAGGTTTCAAATGAGTAGTGACTGCCATCGCAAATTAAACATTTTTGTTCCAAAGAGTCGTTGTGGCATGAGCTAGTAACATGTTCTTCGTGACATTTTGCACACCTAGGCTTGCTTCTACATTGCTTACCCAAATGACCATAACGCATACAGTTATGACACAGAATTACCTTCTGTATATAATGGTTTACATCAAAAAGAACGTGATTTATAGCAACACGCTTAGGCAATTCTTGCGCTTGAAAAGTAACTACAACCTTATTTATAGGTAGATATTTAATGTCACCATTTTGATCTGATTTCCGGTGCATGCGTTTAACCGAATCCACCGAGAAAATGCAGTGAGAATCGAAAGGTTTGATCCTCTCCAACAAGTACTCGTCTGATAAGTCTTTGTCCACCGAAATAACACCCTGTCTATATAAAATGAATTTGGGTATATAAACGTCTAAATTGATATTTTTGAATAAAATCGTTTTATTTAACAGGACATTTGCTGATGATGGATTTTTGAACACAATCCTTACCCTATTGCGTCCAATCGATTCAATTCTTTTAATCATGTTGTCAACTTCAGGAATATTTTTGAGAATAGTTTCACCAACCTTAACTGGATTTAATTTACCTGAGAAATTTGGTTCATTGTTTTCGATATAAACATGATAGGGGCCCTTATCAGTTTGCTTATATGTTAAAAGCGGTCGATCAGCTTTTTTGGGAGATAATGTTGGAAGTTCTACCTGCATTACTCCTGATTGTAGATCATAGTCAATTGTATTATCATTACCGACCTGGGAATTATCTTCAATAATTGCATCCATTGAATCCTTCGATTCCTTCCTTTTCTTTCCAGGGGGCAAGCCCCCTTGGGAGACGCTCATATATGTTGCGGGGCTCCTGCTCAGACTTGATATACCTAAAACTACTTACAGAACAGCTAAGTTTCGCCACTAATTAAATATTCAAGCTCGGAATCGACCAAAAATGATGTTCGCTCGTCACGTCACTTTGACGTATTGCCCCACTGAAAATTCAAAATATCTTCGAGGGCAACTAGAACAGTTCGCGGAGGAGGAAAATGGCGGACAATACAAAACAAATCAGAGCCACCTATTTTGCATACCTCTTCACACTACGTGAAAATCATCACAAATCATTTTTTCCGTCCTATCACTTCGATCTTCCAACAGAATTTTTGTTAATGAGAAAAATTAAAAATAACAAATCATGATCACAGAGTTGGGTAGCCTGAATTAACTCAAACTTCTTCAAACTTGTTCTATTCAAAATAGATTCGTTACTAGCTGGGCATTCAACCGTCATTTTACAATATTTCAAACGTACGATATTTTCTAATAAGCTACAACATGCAAAATGACTTACCAGACCAGTCTTGACTCAGCTCAAAGCGCACTAATTTTCAAATATCTATCTAGAAATCGTTTCCCGCACACGTTTCTCGATTCACAAACCTAAACAGGCACTCACATTATCGAGTTCCGGAAGATTCAACCGATATTATTCGAAATTTCCCACTGAAAATTCAAAAAATCTTCGAGGGCAACTCGAACAGTTTGCGGAGGAGGAAAATGGCGGACAATACTAAACAAATCAAAGCCACCTATGACCCTGGATGAGGAGCATTTTATTGCATTTGAAAAGCTGTCATTACATTCCCGCGAAAAAATACGATATTTTATTTCAAAAGATGTCTAGGTATACGGGTATTATTTAAAAAATACTCATCCGGTCAGACTATGGCAAACATCGTGTAAAACGTTATGGATTTATTACATTCATCAGAAACATGGCCGAATTTTTTTTTGGAATATTGCATATGGTTGGATAAGTTAGGTTGGCATCACTGTTTTCATTAATTCCTTCTATCTAGAATCCTGATTTGAACTCCAGGATACCTCTCCGTATGCGCTTTACATTGACAATAAATCCAGGGACTTCTTCACGACTTTAAGTTGTGGTCAATTTTCAAAGGTGTAAAACAGGAATTTGACGTCAAATAAATTCATGAACCACTTTGTTGCAAAAATGGCATTGAAAACGAGGCATGTTACAATCTGTTCCAGTGTGGATTTCCAAACGGCTTTCTGTGTGAACAAAAAATATGGATTTATTGTGAGAAACTGTACAAGGTTCAATAACATCTCAGCATTAAAGGGTTTTTTTTCGTATGTAAGACCAAAGTTAAAATACTGTTCTATAATTTAGAATCCATATTATTATAGATGTCATGTTTTAAGGTTGGAGAATGTTCAAAAAAAGTTTTTGAAATCCTTATCATTTAAAATATGAAGAGATTTATTTAGCAATAAGGCTAATTTAATTAAATTATTTGAGTACACTTTTTTTAATCAATTTTCAGTAATTGTATGTTCTTGTCTATCAAAATTAAATCACTATGCATCTTGAGTATTCATAAAATGATTTTTTAATCAAATACCTTAAACATTTTTTAATTCGAACACTCTCCAATTAAATGAATTTAAATACTTACTCCCTTTTGAAGTAGGTACAGATTTGCTAGTTCTGCTATTCTTACAATTTTACAGATAAAAGTCTATACTGTATCTAGTTTCGTAGTTACAATAATGACTATTTACTTTTGTATGTTAAGTTTTCTAAATGTGATGATGAATGATTTCCCAATTTAAATATTAAAATGTAGGGTTATTTTTATTCATTGTCCTGTAAAGCCAACTTGTATTAACATTTATGTGTTTAGTAATGACTGAAATTCCAAAGTTTTTCTTTTGATACAGTTTACTGTCACAAAAATAAACTAAGAATTTGAGCAATTTTTGGGTAGATTTCGTATCGAAATCGATGGGGCTAAAATTGGTAGATCTTTCAAAAAATCAGTAACTTGGCAATACTGCCTCCTCTTTACATGAGAATTTCAAGATTTCCCTACTTTGACAAAAGATTAACTAGAATTTGTCAAGTTGGTTGCATAACTGAAGGGAGACCATTTATTACAAAAAATTATATTATATAACTTTTACTTATCAAGTCTATACATATAATATCGTAATCAACAAAAAGAAACGGTTACAAAGGAATTCATAAACAGATGACCCACCATTTCAAATTTCGGAGAAAAATTGAATATCACAAAATTTTGTACAGTTCCTAAATACAGTGCTCAGACAACCTGCATTAATCCACATTAAATTCAATTAAAGAAATAATTAGACATGGCTTGAACAAAATATAATACAAATCTCAATGTGTAGGTTACTTGTCACACAAAACATTATCACAAACCTGTAAAATATAGTACACAATCTCTGATCAACAAAAAGACCAAATAAATATTTATAAATTAGTCATCTACAACGACAACCTCATATTTAGGTTCTATGATAATAAGATCATCATCACTCTCTGCTTCTTCTTCACTATCTTCAACTATCATCACTTCATCAATAATCGTCTCTGTCTTCTGAATAGCGACTGCAGCTAAGCTGCCATTTGATTTGACAGGTGGAACTTCTAATTTCCTGTCTGTCTCTTGTTGCTCATTTTTTTGAGGAATGTCTGATTGTGTCTCCTCTACAAGATTTCGTTTGTCGATTTCTAAAATTTCTTCAGGAACAACACTTGGAACTTCAGTGGTTTGTGTTACAATCTGCTCTGAAAGACTTGGACCATCATTTTCAACTGAGAATTTATCAATGATCGCTAAACATGTTTGCTCAGTTGTTGACCCATTCTCTGTGCTACCATTCACTGCAGCATCAATAGGCGCATCCGATTCTTGTATTTCGGTCTGTAAACACTCTGAAGGCAACATCAAATCATCTGCAGGATTGTAATCTTTATCGTTTTCATCATCATCAAATTCTGCTTCATCCATTTCCATTTCAGGTTCTAAAAGACTACTATCTATTTCTTCCTCGCACCTTTTCCTTGGCTTGCGTTTTCTTTTAGGATAGGGATTTTCATCGGCAGGATCTACTTTGATTTCTGATCTGCATATTACATTGTCGTAATCAATTCTGTTCTTATTTACAACGATATCTGCTCGAATCATATCTTCAAAGTCGATCATTCCGTCTACCTCTTCATTTTGGTGTTCCACCTCTGGTGGGGGCTCATAATAAGTGTCTTCTGTCACCTCTGTATTTTCTGTTTTCGGTGTTTTTTTACGTGCGACATGATGGTGAGGTCTTGGAGTTTTTGGGAGGGTTTTAGCAGCTTCTTGGAGCTCAACTATTTCTCTTTCCACCTCAAAATCTTCGTCATCTGAATGCTTTTTACGGATAAGCTGATGAATTTCTTCGGCGTCTTCAAAATCATCGTCGAAAGCTTCTGTGAAGAGGGGTCGCTTTCTTTGTCGTAAACTGTACTTTTTCGGGGCCAAAGTGTTTGAAACCTCCTCCAAATTGATGTCTAGATCGCTGTCATTCTCCTCTTCGCTTTCGTAGTGTTTTTTCGAAGAACGGGTTCGTTTCCTGACCATTTTTTGTTATTGTTTTTCAACCTTAGCTTCGATGTAAGGTTTGAGGTTATGACATTGCGGCTGGTGACAAATTCCAAATGGCTGTCAGGCCTTTTTCGAAAATCGTTGGATTTTTCAGCTTTGTGGGAGACTATAGTCTAGTAAAATGTATGGTTTGCAGCTAGATGCAGCCTTCTATATAGTCAAAAGTTTGGAAACTGCATTCAAACTGTACGACAAATGAATATTCTAATATCAATATTAACAAACGAATTATCCAGCTAATTGTTTTGCATTTATGAGTTAAGAGTTTTTTTGATGTTAAAATATATAATCGTCTCTCAAAATACAGATTAACTCTAGTTATATGATCATTTCGAGAAAACAGAGCTTAAATTTGTAATTGTGTGAACTGGGCTTTAGGTAATCGGTATTTGTTAGTGTCGCCCCGCCCATCACTATATCTATATATTCTGAATTTGATGTTCCGTGCCCAAGAAATAGGGATGTTCCGATCCACGAAAAGTATTGATACCATGTATCGATTCGTATAGTTTTAGGAAGTATCGATACTCTAAATTATCGAAATTGAAAAACTTTTTTCAACTGCATGACTAGATTGTCAAATACGTTCACTAACAATAACAGGTAAAAAACCTCATAATTGCATAACTTACATTTCCCACCTAAACTCGATTTTACAAAATAACTCCACAAATCACTTCTTACAGGAGATATCACTATCACAATAATGTGTTGTTTTAAACAAATGTTTAATCAACCAGTACTAAAAACACTGTGTGTGTAATTTCCCGAAACCGAATCCAACACGGGTGCCAGGTCGTTTAGCTCAGTTTCCCCATTCGAAATGTAAAATCCCCTAAATTCAGGACTTTCCAAAAATAATCCCTAAAAAATACTATTAATTTTTTGTTACCGCATAGGTTTACGATTTGTTAAGTATTCTTGGATCTTAAAATATTTTTTGAGCGACATATTTTTATCGCTAAGTACCCCGGTAAAAGTATTTGTTACGAATCTAAAGGCGAATAAATACATAACAAATACATTATGTAATGCCATTAATAAAATTGCACATAATAATACCATCCCAGCAAAATGTTTCCCCAAAGGAAATCCTCAGAAAAAATATCCCCAAAATCTTCCTCATTGAAATAAATATCCCTTAGTTGGCAACAGTGGAATAAAAATTAAATTATTGGAGGTCTTGAAGGGAGTAGCCCCAGCGGAAGGAAACAAAGAAGAAAAGGAATCTGAAGTTAGTCACTTTTCTGACACAGTCCGGATCGAAAGATAATACTCGTGAAATATATCAATACACCCAAGTATGGTATATAAAAATATCGATCCAAAATATCGGATTGTATCGAACATCCCTACCAAGAACTTAATTGACAGCTTTGACGTTCCACTGAGGTTTTGACATTAGGTAAAACTTGTGGGTACTGTGTAAAACTATTTTTTTATTCAAATATTGAATTTTGTATGATATGAAAACGCCCACACGTATGATCTACATTTTTAAATAGAATTGCAACTTAATGCCCGTTAAAGATCCGTGCAAAGCATTTGCATGTAGGATTCAAGCTTGTTTAAAAGGTACAAATAAAAACTTGTCAACAGTTGAGTTTACATTACATAACTTCCTTTTGTAGGAAGGGATTTTCAAGAGCCGGCTTGCCAGGACGTTATAGAGGACATGCGAGAATGCTGTAGAAAGTGGAAGGATAAAAGTTTCGTTTGCAACGGTATGAACATCACCCCTGCTGAGGAGAAAAAGAAAGACTAGTAAATACAGTATATTATGAATCAAGCGCGTGGTAAAAGAAACCGTGGCCTTATCTACAAATATCCTCGTACTTTTGTGATCGGGTCAACGATCGCTGCTTTGCTAGCGTTATTCTCTAGGCCGATCTACGACGTGTTCTTCAGTAAAGAGCCCATCGACTACGAAAAGGTGCTAGCAGAGCACAGGGCACAAAAAGCCAAGAGACATGGAGTCCGTAAAGAAAGCAAAGCAGAGGTACAAGCAGTACCCCCTACTTCTAGCTAAATGTGGGAAGGAAGCATCTGTGTATGGCCAATGTGTTTTGAAAAAAGACAATTTGAAATTAAACGACTGTATTGAGGAATTCACAAAGTTCAAAGGGTGTTTGCAACAAGCTGCTAAAGCATTGAACACTAGAATATAAAATATTTAAAAATGTCTCTTTATGACTCGTTTGTAAATATCAATTATAAATTTCATCTCTCCTTTTCACTCATAGTTAGGATCTTATTAATCATATATGGAAACTATCATGATAGCATTTCAGAAGTTAAATATACCGACATTGATTACAAAGTGTTTACAGATGCAGCTAGACACGTTGCATTCGGTGGTTCTCCTTATGACCGATCTACTTACCGTTATAGCCCGATAATTGCTTTACTGTTAATTCCAAATATTACGATCCATCCTAGTTATGGGAAACTGCTTTTTTCACTGATTGATATTTTAGTAGCATTGCTAATTCGTGCTATTGTAAAAAACAGTCTGAAAAACTACGAATCTTACAGTCAAAAAGATGCGTCTAATAAGAATGTACAACAAATCAAAACTGAAACTTCAGAAACCAGAAAGAAAAAGAAAAAACGTCAGTCTAATAAACAACAGTTGAATATGAGTAAGAGACAGCTAGAGAGTAAAAACGATGTAGATCATATCGCTGATTTGTGTATGACAGCATGGTTGTATAACCCTTTAACTATTGCGATAAGTACAAGGGGTAACAGTGACTCACTAGCTGTATTTTTAGTTTTGCTCACTTTGTATTTCATTCAATGCAAGCATTATCCATTTCTGGCAGGGATTGTACATGGTATATCCATCCATTTTAGATTGTATCCAATCATCTACAGTCTGACTTATTTCATGTACTTTAGCAAATATTCTTTCTATACAACGGAGGATAGAAGAATAAAAAAGAAAAATCTCAATGCTGTTACAAATGAGAAAGTGAGAAAACAATTAAAGAATGTAGAAAATACTATTGTAGAAAGCTCATCCCTTGGTGGGCACAAAATGATGCCAGTGCATGATGTTGACGAGAAAAAAACAATTTTTAAACTGAAATATCTGTTTTACGTCATTCCTAACTTTGATCAGCTAAAATTAATCTCAGGTTGTCTGCTGTCACTAGGCTGTTTTACTGTAATGTTTTATAAGATGTATGGCTATAAGTTTTTGTATGAAACTTACATTTACCATTTTGTGAGAAAGGATCCTAAGCACAATTTTTCCTTGTATTTTTATCTTCAATATCTGACAGCTTGGGTGAAGAATATCGGTATGTGGCAAAAGGTTCTAATGCTGCTACCTCAGCTAGTGCTGATACTGGTGTTTTCCGTGAGATACGGTCTCAACAAGATATCTTTGAATTTCTCCATCCTGACACAAACCATCGTGTTTGTGATATACAACAGCGTGCTCACCTCGCAATACTTTGTGTGGATAATGGCTGTGTTACCGTTATGCCTTTGGCAAATCAAAATGTCCAGGAATTCAGCATTGTTTTTGATGACGATCTGGTTCGTAGCTCAGGCAGTTTGGCTTCTGCCAGCTTATTTGCTCGAGTTCCAGGGCCAGAATACCTTCCTTTTCATTTGGATACAGAGCGTGTCGTTTTTCTGTGCCAATATTGCTATCTTGGGTAGGCTGATCACGTATTTTATGCCAGTGAAAGGGAAAATGGGATGAGACGTAGTATGTGTTTTGTAGTTTGAAGTAGGTGTGATAAAATTTGTACCATTTGTATTGTTGTATTTGAAATAAATGTGGTGAAAAAATGTGCTTTATTTGACATTCAGTCTACCAGCATTCTCAATATGACCATCAAAACGACTTAAATGGATTTAGGTAGCAATGATCTTTTTATTCATATAAAACATAATTATAAAGAGCAACTTTTGTACATTGAAAATAGCGAGTTAAATGTAACTTTTCATTAAAATTACACTTAAACAATTACTTTTCTTTCTTTTGCATGTATGTACTTTCACTGGATTCTTTTTCGGAGATTTTACGACATGCTGAAAATGAGAAAACCACTGTTAGTCATCTAGGAGTATTACTGAATAGGTGCTGATGATACATGCAAAATTTTCATTTTCCACAGCCATGAGTGAGCAAAACTTAGTAATTTCGGACAATTTAGCATGCCGAGTACAAATATAGACAAAAATTGGGATAGTAAATGAGATAATGCGCTGCCTGGGACCTCCAATGGTCCAAGTGCCAAACTGACGGGTTCTTTTTGTACCATATTTTGGATACTTTTCATAGAAAATATAGATAGATACAATACAATAAAATAGCGTTGGCCACAATTAAGTGTTGAAAATCACATCAGTCATGTGGTGACCGTTTTTGACAATGCATTGGTGGAGGTCTTCTTGAAAGTCCGCGTAGACCCTTTCCAGCATTGTTCTCTCAATTAGGCGACTACCGCGCCAATTGCCTCCTTTAACTCGTCCAGAGTCTCCCCATAGGAAAAAATCGCAGATGCATAAATCTGGGGATCAAGGAAGCCATTGAAAATTTTGTTATACTCCAACCACCACAAAGGTCAAAGGCCTAAACACCCATGGGGTACCGTGGGGCTATAGGGCAACATGCACACACTCTGGCCCCGTCTACGAAATCCGCCGGGTGGTACCTCTTGTGTTTGACAGTCAAGAGACCATCTACCACCTACGGACAATCACAACATCCATAACCAAGAGAAAAATTTCTCCTAGGATGGGACTCGAACCCGCACGGCAACTGATCAGGAGACCGAAGAGTCTACTACTGCGGCCACCGCCGCTGCCTCAGCATCACCAAAACTGGGAATCAGGCGACCACGGAAGTGAGGGCGAATAACGTTCATTGTTGCTCTGGCTGGCGGACAGTCCCCCATCCTGTTGAAACCACACACTTCGTAATTCAGATGAAAAGAAGTTGGTGATGATTTCGACATAGTGCTCCCAGTTCACTGTATCATCACCCATAAACAAAATGAGGTTTTCTTTTGTGTGCTTCCATCTCAATTTGAAGGGATGAAAGTGGAGATCCATATGTACAATCGAACGATCACTGACGCGAAGTTCAGAAGCATGTTGACGAACAGATCGAGCCGGAAAGCGAAGGGCTTGTCGAACGCGTTTCACATTTTCAGTGGTTCGAACCGTTCGTGTAGCTCTGGGTCATCTTTTGTGGATCAGTACACCACGTGTGCGAAGTGATTCAATCCTATGAAGTATGCTGTTTCGAGAAGGAACAGCTCGGTTCCGATGAATATTGAAGTGGCAACGAAACTCACACGGTACACCCGTGTTAGACACATTATGTCGGACAGAACTGTCGTAAGCGAAAACGCGGTGGTCAACCGTCCACTGCTCCATAATGTCTACTGGTAAAAATGTTGGAAACGCACAAGTTGAACGCCACTCTCGCCCGAATAGGCAGAGAGTACCAACCATTTAGAAAACATCCGTGCTTTGTGCTGGTCTCTGTATTACAACTATTATTGATTTATAATTGTCAGGTTATCCTTTTAGTATAGTATTATTTACAAGGGTTGCATGGAAGAGCTATGGCGTTGAATACCGCCTACCTCATCAAATGAGTTTTTTTTTTTGTTAGTATGTACTTTTAATCCAAAAATAAAGTCATATTATTATTAATTTTATGAAATTGACCTTAATGGCTAACGCTGACTGCAAATTGTTGAATTTTCAAGAGAAGCCTTGTTTTTATTTTATAACTTCAAGTCAAAAGTCTTTGATAGTATGTTTACCTGAACGTAAAATCTAGATACCAAAATTGATCATACCTTTCAATGAGACTTGCCCTCATGTCAGATGTAATTTTGGAAGGTGCAGAGTCATTCAGCCTGAATATTGATTCAATCACTGTCAGTTCTGTGGACGTAGTGTCTAGACCAGCAAATGCACACCAATCATTCACAACTAAACCAGCTCCTATTACTTCACTGCCTCTATTCACTGTGCCAGCCTACAGAGGAAATAAAATAAAAAACATAGTTATGGTATGTGAATAGTGGTATCTTGCCAACTATAGATCAAACTTACTAGTGTTACAAAAAAGTGCTTTCAAATAATCATTCTGCAAGACATATATTATGTCTCTTAATATAACTCAACCATCTCTAACTTAGTTAGGGCAACATAAAGAAAACTATTCAATAATTGATTTTTAATTTCCCAGGGAGGAAAGTATATATACAGGGTATTACTTAAGTAGGCAGTGATTTTTTGAGTAATTTTAAGTTGGAAAGGTCATATAAACAGGTCCAGAAATTCTTCGTTTCCAAGATACAGGGTGTCAAACGTTTTTTAAAAAATCGGTTTTTACTAAATGTCTCAACAAACTTTCAGTGGATTCTGTTTTAATTTAGAAGTGGTATTAAGGGGTTAATTTGGCATCAATTAGATTGAAATTATTAAGTCCAGTGCTGCCTAATTCGAAAAAATAAAAAAAGAGAAATTTTTGTCACCGATATTCGTTAGGACGTTTTCTGGGATGCCACTGGACTTGACAATTTCAATCTAATCGGTGCTAAATTAGCTCATTTCTGCCCTTAACACCACTGGTAAATTTAAACAAAATCAACTGAAAGTTTATCAAGATATTTAGGAAATACTGATCTTTTAAAAAAGTTTGACACCCTTTATACAGGGTGACTTTGAAGTTGAGTCATTAATTTTCAGATAATGATTGTAGAAGGAAGATAAACCAAAATATGTGTGTAAAAATAAAAAAACATTAAAAAAAATGTTACCTTGTTTTATAAAGTATCCTCCCGACAAGTATTTCAGTGCGGACCTGTATTTGATCGCGAGGTCTTGGAGCACCGGCATGCCGTCCATATGTGAGGTCTTAAGTCAAATGATTCACGAACCCGTTGTACTACATTAACAAAGGCACGAGGGGTTGGTTGCACTCGATTGGGAAACCGATCCGCATAAACATGTGCCATTTTTTATTTCGTTTGAGCCACGCAACAGACACCACTATCCACTACCGACTGACACGGACTGTATACAACTGAACGAAATAATTGTAAAAACATCGTTCCAAATTCTTTCGCTTTTTTGTTTCCGATGCGATGAACCGATAACGCGGATTATATCCGTTGTCGCCAAACACGAGCACATAATATTATTATTGAGACAGGGCGGTACTCAAACTTCTAAAGGGCTATAACTTTGTTACTTTGTTAATTTTACCAGAAAAATGTTAAAGGAAAAAAACATTTCTTTTGATCAGATCTACTCACTGTTAAAATAAATGACTCAACTTCAAAGAAATATTGAAACTGAAACATTTCTGGATCTATGTTTGTATAAAGTTTTCATCATGAAATTACTCAAAGAATCTCCTCCTGAAGTTTGGCTAGATACTTAAATAACACTGTGTATATGTCTTAAGATCTCTTTCAAAATTTGAGCTTTTGGAAAGGTATTGCTTATGCAGATATGGTGAAGGCATCTCAAAAATAAGGCGAATGTAGTATGGTAAATTTTCCAAACATGATGAAAGCATTTCAAAAATGCCTTTTGCAGATGTTGTGTATCTATATTTATCTCTATCTAGCCTCATCGACTGGCAGTAATAAACTTATCAAATAAAACTGCTGCCCTTGAAGCAATATTTGTACAACAAAGAGATTAAGGAAATGTCTACTTACAACTAGTGGAACCTGGAGTAAAGATGACAGCTCTTCTTGATCCACAATACTGGTTTGTGGATGCACTAAACCACCTTGATTGCTAAGCACACAGTAAGAACCTACTAATACTTTACTTGCTATGGTTTGCCTGAATACTTCTACTTTCAGTGTATCTGCAATGATCTCTTCAGATTCCTAACATACAAAAAAAATGTTACTTATTCAACATCAAATAAAGTTTGATATGTAAAGGTAGGCAAATATAAAATATAAGATTATTTTTATGGAAAAAAGTTTTACAAGTTAAAGAATGTTATTCCGAGCCTAAAGGCAAAGACCTATAGTTTACAAACCACTGTATCAGAAGTGTTTCATTGATATTATTTATTATTCTCATCCAAGGTACTGACAATGATAAGAAGTATAATTTTGGGGACTTTTAGGATTTGGCCCCTCTGAGAAATTTTGCTACCCCTGCTTTTCAAAAAGTTTTATGCTAAGTACATGTTCACAAATGTATCTCCTGCAAAAGCTAGCCACTCCTGAGAACTTTTGTAGGAGCCATAATAAGTTGGTAGTGAAATTCAAATTACTTCATTGCTATTGAGAGTTAAATCATCAAAGTGAAGGTGATTTTTTATCAACAAAGCGCAGCAAACATCTCAGAATACGCATCACATATACAGCATCAGCTTATTACAAAGTAGCGTGCAAGAATGTATTTGGACTTGGTCCATCAGAACAGCATTTACATATGGCATCAAAATAACATGATTTTTTAGTACTTACTCTGTCCAGATCAGGATGCACAATAGCAACATAGTCATTGCAAGAAACAATATTCCCTAATGCTGATAACCTCTCTTCAACCCTCTGTACCTTAACAGTATCTGGTAATGCATTACGAATATGCTGTAGTTCAGTGTCTAGTGTTGTGTTAGGAACAAGGAGACCGTGTTTGTTCCCAACACACATTCTTCCTATTATTCTGCAATTGGCAAGCGATACATGGACAACAGGAATTGTTTCTGCCAGCTCTCCTTCAAAAGTGCTACAAAAAGATATGATTTGATGAGTAAAGCATCCAAATGAGAAGTAGATGCATGGAATTAATTCACTGTTACCTGTAGAAATCCTCTGAGCCTCCGATTCCTACCAAGCAGTACGCATTTGTTAACTTCGCAAAACAACCTATTTCATTATTGTTTTCAAACTGGGCACGTAACGCCATGTTACCAGATTAAATGTAACCCTTAAATCAAACTATCCAACACTGAGGGTATTTTAAAACAAGACAAATAACGATTTGTAAATCGGAAAACAGATGTATGTATTGTAAGAAAGGAAACACGATGCGTTAACCTCAAAATTTTTCTATTAATGACAAATGACAATTAATGAGGAAAACGGAGAAAACTAACTAACCGGCTAAAAAATTATTATAGAAATCTTTTCTATCGGTCTATATTTAGATATCCTGGTAATAGATGGCGCCACAACAATATTACGGCGCCATCTGTTGCAGATAAAGTTAACCGATGTTTTTAGTTTACCTTGCCTGTCAATAGATGGCGCAACAGAAATATTGTGACGGCGTCTATAAAATAAAAATGTAACTGTTCCTAATGCCTCCTCTACACTTCGTCAGTTGCGTCAGCAGACGTCGATAGATGCATCTCAGCTCGAGCTGATCACAAACCACAAGACTGCAGGTCGTTCAGTCCACAAAACATATACACTGAAAGAACGCTTACTCAATGCGGCAACACGAATGGCTTTTGTCGCAATGTTTGTGCATTGCACTATCATCTTTATTTTTATCTGGTTGTTTTGAATAATAACAAAATTCAATTTTTGCATTAGGAAGAACAGTTCAAACACCTCACGTGTATTTGTGATTGGGTGCGTTCAAGAGTGACAAATAAAACAATATAATTGGGAAGATAACTTTGTTCTGGTAGATAACGAGATGTGGTGCATTTGCAATATAGAATGAAGAATCAGAAACCCCTATATGGGGTTCAGTCTGTGTTCTTGGCAGACGCAGCTCGCACGCAACACGCAAGAGACGTTAAAAACATGGATGTTGAAATCGTAGTATTCACATATTTCATTTAATATATCGACCTGTATATATATTACGCGATACTTTTTAGAGAAATAGCTTGGAAAATCAGCTTACAGAACTTTACCTATGCGGAGAATCTCAAAATTTTGTGCGAACGTCTTGCAGAGATTTTGAATACCTTCTACAATCATTGCTAAAAACGATACTGATTAAATGGATGCAAATCCAGCGCATGGCAGTAACATTAATATGGAAGCTTGCATTACTTGCGATAAAACTGACGTGTGCACAGACGCTTGCACTGAAATCCTTTGTTGCGTGTCACAAAAAACGACAACAAATGGTTGACAGATCCATCTGCTGACCTTAAATACCTCCAACAAACGTGCAAATTTGCCCTTTCTACACATCGGCGGACGCATACGCAGATTAAATCTGCTGACGCCTGTGTCGAAGAGTCGATGTGTAGAGGAGGCATTAGCTACATTTAAATATTTTCTTAAGAGATGGCGCCACAACATAACAGCGCCATCTGCTGCTGATTAGTTGAACCAATGTTATTGGCTTAGATTCGTTGTCAATAGATGGTACGAAAAAAATTGTGACACCATCTATGAAAGGAAAGTATAACTATTCCATATTTGAATATTTTTGCAATAGATGGCGCCATATACCCATGTTTTTGTTTTGGAAAAAATAGGTTATTTCTTTATTTTTATTTTTCATTATTCCAGTTTTGAAAAATATAAATTCACCATGGCACTAGTATTTCTTGAAGAAGATCCCTGGTAAATATTATTTAGATATTTCGCAAGGTATATTTCTTAAAAAATGATGTTTGCAGGTTGTTAGAGTACGAATCATGCGAAAAATTGCAGAGAGATATTATGGAGCAATTAACGCTCAGGCAGAAATATCCTAGAACCAGCGAATCGTATTCACAAATATCTGCTAACGTTCGGCTAAGGTTAAAGCAATACAACAATGAAGTTGGACAACTTGAAAGGAAATTGAATGATACAACATTATCACAAAACTTGTATCCTTACTCCTACTGAAGCGTATACACTGTGTAATTCGTCAATTCTCCTGCCTAAATCAATCATATTTGCTTTGGTATCTCATATGTAGATCCATTTTATATGACATTCTCTTTTTCGTTACCTTTTTATTTGTATTTTATCACTTTGATCATTCACACAGAAATATGACTTTCAAAGATAACCATGTCTGCAGAAAAGCTAGCTTATATCAGATTAATTTTGTTTTTCAAATATTTAATCAGCACTCTTACTTGAATTGTAAAAATCCTTAACTAAGTTTCAATAGAACTCCTGAAGAAACTGAAAGGCGTACAAGGCAGATAGAATACTTGAAGACAAAGAATGTCCAAATGCAACAAATCTTTGATGAACAAGTTGTTAACAAAATGCTTGAGGACAGAAGACAACTGACTGGGAGTTCACCATGGGGCAACGATTCATTCAGAGATTCTGAAGGTGCTACCAGTACAGCCAGTGCTTCCGTATCTGACATGAGGTCAAATCAGAAAAATATGTTAAAAGGTAAGAGGCATTTTTTTTTTTTTTTTTTTTCACTACTAAATAAAGTTCACCATTATGGACCATACTGCCTCACTGAGAAGTAGCTTTTTCTTCCCCAGGTTAATAATAAAGAAACACCCAAGTTTAAAATTGTATTCTGCTAACTTCATGCAAATAACTGATGTTAGTGATAGCTTGTTATAAAGCTTCTTCTTGGCTATGTTATTACATAATGGGAAAGCATAGGGGAAAAAGTTTTTACTGCCAATGCAGTATGAAAACAACAATAAAGAACATCCATGTAGCCGAGTGACACTTATATTTTTTTAAATATTTGAAGTCAAGTATAGCTACCATTAATGATGGTTTCAATAACTGAGAAAATATTGAAAAATAGTTTTCAATGAAAACACAACCATCAAATGTCAGCACACCTTGCTTTCCTCTTAAACTGAAATGGACCAGCTATGTCTCAAATATTTTTTAATTAAAGTGTATCTTGGTATCCAATGATGGAATATCTTGTTTTTAGCTACAAGATAAAAATCTAACAATGTTTCAATATATTAGGTTTAGAGTTATTTCAAAATTGATCTTCCATGTCATGGTGTTCTTTAAAAATAAGTTTTTGAGTATTTTGTTTCTACATTGTATCTTTTGATTTTTTTAGAGCAAGAAAATGGCTTGGAAAATCTGTCACAAATCATATCAAGGCAGAAAGATATTGCACATACCATATCAAATGAAGTAGATTATCATAATGGTAAGATACATTTTTTTGCAGATTATCATAATTCCTGGAGCTAAAAGTCCAGCTAAACATTTTCAGTTGCTGTTAAATCTGGTTATATTTCATAAAAGTTATATTTACTCTTATTAATTCTGATTTACATTTTCATATATTTTATTAACTATAAAATTCATACCTTTAGTTCAAACAGTAGTTCAAAGTCCTACCTGAATTATCTAGATATTTTATGCTGCATATGTATCTTAATTCTTGACTAATATATGTAGTTGTAAATTTTGGACCTAATTTTTTTCTCTAGATACTGAAACTTTGTGTATAAAATCCATTTTTTCATATATAACATTGATGCTAGTTATGTCAAAATAAGCCCATGCATAATGTAATCACTGAAACTTATCCTGTTTGTGGTCTTAGAACTCCATTGTTTGGCTGAATCAAAACCATATATTAAATGTTACAATTATTTTTTTAGTTGTTAGTCACAAAATTGGAGTGATTATGAAAATACAACATTAACTTATTGCACCTCACTCTTTTATGCTCGAATTGTATTTTAGGTAATATCTTAATTTTTATATTGATCTTATTCCAAATTAGTTAGTCATAGTTGATTTTGGACATTCTATTGTAATATAAACTCTCCCAAATTTGAAAATAATAAGCTATAATTTATTCCTGAATTTTTAGTCTTAAAATCACAACAAAAGAGCTTCTGATAGATAGAAAACAACATACATAGTCACAGAATTGTCAGAGTGATGGTCAAAACATACAGTAAACAGAAATCAAAACATATACATGGTTTTAATTTGCCCAGACAATGAGTCCTATATTCTAAATAATTTTATTATTCTGCAGAAATATTGGATGATCTTGGGGCGCAAATGGACAGGACAGACACAAGAGTCAGATCAGAAACCCAACACATTGGTGTTGTCAGTGAAAAAGACAATACTTGTGGATATTGGATCGTGATAATTTTGCTCCTTATAAGCATTGTAACTGTTGCTATCATTTGACTCAACTGTTATTCCCATTATACCAAAACCCCAACGCATTGTAGTAGGATAAGTACCAAAATAATGTTTACATTTTAATTCTGTTTATTTGATATATTTTTTATTCAAAGTGATATGTCTTTATATTTTCACCAATAAATGATTCAAGAAGATTCGGAAGCTGTATCTTTTATTGATTAAAGCAAATATTTAAACTGCTCCAAACTTTCAGTTTTTATGTATTTTAATGCGTGTGAAGGCTAAAAAATACTGCTACGGATTGGATGAACAATTCAATGTCACAATCCAAATAGGGTAGGGTTAGGAACAAAAAAACTGTTCTAGTTTTTATTTCCAAATTGGAAATCTTACATTCTTATATTGCATAAAATGTACAAATTAAATTAAGAATTAATATCCTTATTAACATTACTCTGATAAAACGATAAAACATTACTTCAACTCATCCAAGTATGGGACATCCACCAAGTTGCCCATGGCTGCCATCGTCAATTTCTGACCAGCTTTCCTCAGTGCCTGCAAAAATATTTTACATTTTTATCTATAATAAAGATTATAAATTAGACAATTTTATTTCACATGAAGTTTCTTAGATTTTGGTCAGAACTAGTTAACGATTAAAGGGGTGCCCAGTGGGAAAGATGATAAAAAAAATACAAACTTAATGAAAAGAAAATATTTATTTCATTTCTTAAATATCATTCCGTCCAAATGTTTCCCATCCTTTCAGACACACTCTTCTAGTCGCGCACGCAAATTCTGAAACACTGTCTTGCTGAGTTTCGGAGTGATGTTTATTTCTCGTCGAATGTTGTTTTTAAGCTCCTCCTGTGTTCGTGGATTATTGGAATACACTTTTGACTTCAGATAAACTCACAAAAAATAATCGCATGGTGACCAAGGAGGCCAGCGAATGTCTCCAAACTTCGATATAACTTTTTGAGGAAGAAGTGCTTTCATCGATGCTCTGGAAGTACCGGCAGTGGCCCCATCCTGTTGAAACCATGTGTTTCTGTTAAACCGACGGTCTGTTCTTACAAGAGGAGAAAAAAAAATTTCAATCATGTCCTTTTATCGCTCGGAATTGACTGTCAATGCATGACCGTTTCCATCGAAACACGGCCCAATAAAACCGCTAGAGGATATGGCGCACCAAACAGTCACCTTTGGACTATGTAGCTGTTAGTTCGTTGGTGCCCAATATCTGGAATTTTGCTTGTTCACATAACCTCGTAAGTGAAAATGGGCATCGTCAATGAAAACAACGTTCTCGAGTCTGCGCTGCGTAGGAATTGGTTCAGCTCAACATTTCCGTAATATGTAATCGCTTTCCTTTAAAGCATGGACTGATTGGATTTTATAGGGATGAAAAAAAGCCATTTTTTTCTTCATTATGCCATGCAGTGTTGACCTAGGGATTCCCAAAGCAGCGGAATGCTTCCGTATAGAACGCCGAGGATTTGCAATGACCGAATCACTTATTCGTCGCACATTTTCTTCGGTTGATACAGTAGATGTGGGACCAGAATGGGTTGACTAAGAGTAGAGCCTGTTTCAAGGAACATCTTAATTCACTTTTTCAATAGGTTCTTACTTGGAGCATCTCTTGGTCGACGAATGTCGTATGTATCACCGCTCTTAAAGTGGGCCTCGATAGCAAAAGCACGTTGCGCTCCGGTCCAACGTTCCATCGTGACTGTTTAACCCGCAGTCCCGCACGCCGAACGCGTCGATCAAGACCTGTCCCCACTTCCTCGCCTATACGGTTGCCGCGTAATTCAAATTTGAAATGTGATCTTTCCCACTATGAGTATGATAGTACATTATACCAAGTGATAGGTTACTCTCAGATAACTTTCATATGTAGATCAAACAAAATCAATTATAGTTAAAAAAACTAAAAATCACGCTTTAATAGCAAATTCAACTAAAAAGTAGAAAATAAGAAAGTATAGGAGAGTTTGTGTTATGGCAATAGAAAGTCCAACAAGCAATTACGACTGATTAACTTGGAATAGGAGACTATAAGAATTAAAAAATAAAAAAAAAATATAGTAAAAAGCGTATAGTACTTGATATTAAGTATTAGAAATATTATTGTAGTTGTTATTTACAAAACTGGAATTATTATGAAAATATAGTCAATTACGTACCACGATTTTTTACTATAATTGAATTTTTGTTGATACCTCAATTTTATATTGATCTTATTCCATTTCCTTATTAGTCATACTTAATTTTAGGAGTTTCTATTGCAGCAACGCAAACTCTTCTATACTTGTTTTCTACTTTTTTTTGTTAGAGTACTATTAAAGGATCTTTTTAAGTATCTTTTAACAATAATTTATTTTTTGAATGTTTAGTTCGACAACGAAAGTAACTTCTAAACAAGAGCTTTGGTGTATTTTTTCAAATTTCGAAAATCTAATTTTTGTTTAAAAATTTCCAAACGCATTTTTCAAAATTCCGAATTTTTAAATTATTTTATAAATTTTCAAATTCAATTTTTTCAAAATTCAAATATTTTAAAAATGCTCAGATTTGAATTTTCTTCTAAGATTATTGTGTTGTCATTGGCACTTGACCCTTGTGCAAATTTTCAAATTAATCAGACTTCTTGAACTTGGAGAAAATTAGTTGAAATATTTCGTTTTTTGATTTGTATTTTAAATTCTATTTGAGGTTTTGCACTTTCTAAACAGTTTTAATGCTCAAAATTTAATGAAACAAATTTTTCTGACGCGTTCAAACAATACCTGAAACTAAATTTTAAGTTCACAAAAACTGTGTACAGGTGTCTGTAGTTGTTGTCTAAATATTTTGATGCTGCTTGACTCAAATTATTGTCTTCTGGATTAAAATAAATATTATTATTGCTATAAATACTGCTATAAAATGACGTAAAATAAATTAACTTACACTTTGGACATCAACAGTAGTAACTGAGTCTACAGCTGCAGCCAATTGAGCGGCAGTTTGTGGGTTGCCTGTCAGAACAGCTTGAGTTGCAATGTCGTGAATGGCAGTTGCACCACATTCGGCATCAACTAGCAACTGAGTCTTCAACTGATTCTTGCCTGGAAAAAAAAAATGTTATTCATCGTGTTTCGCTTTTAGTCTTGTACTATGAGTTCCATGATTGAAAAATTTTACCGCGCCCTCTTTAACCCCCAACATCAAATTTTTTTGAAACGTCAAAAAAACTACGTTTTAGCGATTTTTATTTTTTTCGTGTTTCAAAATCTACAAAGCTCCTTCGTCCCTGGCATAGTAGTAAGCTTGTGTGAAAATTTCATCCAAATCGAAGCAGTACTTTCCAAGATACAGGCGGTCTAAACATTAGCGGACAGACCGACAAACAGACAGACGCACCGACGGAAATAAGTGACATGCATTTTCGCGATAACATCAAAAAAACATAATATCTCATTTCCTCGCTCCGTGACATAGGAAGTAAAAAAATATCTTGAATGTTCGAAATGGAATCGACAAACTCACCTCTGTTGACATCAGCATCGGAAATATTTCCATTTTTCAATACGGAATATGCGGCTTGCACGACGCTCTTCGCCGATTTTGCAGGAGCAGCAACCAACACACCGACCAGACCGGTGTCTGAGTAGTTGACATTGATGGCGGTAGAAGCGTAGCCTTCTTGACCGGCACCAATCGATTTTGATAAGACACCGTTGTCATGGTTGCTCCACTAAAAATTATAGAAAACGATCTGCTACAATGTTCTCAACTAAAAGAAATGCAATCTAATCAGCCTTTGTCCTGGTTCAAATTATACTTAGGTTTACGAGGGTGTATCAAAAAGTTCGTGGACTAGCTCTGCAATTCACGGATGTGCCTGCTATAAGCAGTGGTAGTTTATTTAACTAAATGTCGCACATAAAGTTCACATCGCATGTCAAACACAACAAAAAATGTGAATATAATACAGAGTGAGTTAACAGTGTTTGTTGAACCTCACTATAAACAAAAGCATAATAAAAAATACAAGTTCATTATGACTAGATCATACACAGTGTTTTCAAAATTGAGTCATCAAGTTAAATGTACACTTATCGAGACAGAATTTCCAAGTTTTTGACGCCATTAGGGTCAAATCAGCAAAGACATTTTAAAACTGATTGACTAAGGAACTAGTGGAATTACCTTGACATGGGGTCCAACTCCTAGTGCCCTTTGGAGTACAGCACATGCAAGGGCATCTTTGGTGTTTGTAATCGGAGCACCTTCTCCAGCAAAGGCTACAAACGCCAAATCACCACCTTTGTTCGACCTGAAAATATATACAAAATTACATAGACAATTACACAATAAGTTAACTAAACAATAGATGCATTCAGATAAATTGGGTATTGTGGTAATATCAATGTTAATGTACACCCGGAAATTTAAGTGTCTTCTTGATCTTTGAAGCGTCGCCATATAAATTCAACAAAGCCAAATCAATGCGTAATAATAGATATAATAAAGAAACCCAAACAAAATAATATTTTCATTATGTATTGCCATAAATATACATTATCTCTGCCTAGACCACCATCACACCTCAGGCCATATGATTCACATATTTTCATGAAAAACCTGGTCAACATCTTTTTGTTAGCCTTCATGCTGAATAGCAGTTTTTGACTATAAGATCGACGTGACCTCGGAAGCTTCATTTTCCATCTTAGGGCACGGGGGTTGTTTACACGGTCGGAGAATTTCAGCAGTTCTTTTTTGATACAAACTTGTATGTTTTCCTTCAAAAAAATGTTGTTTTTGGGCCGAATAAAATCATTTAGGTTTTTTCAGTGTTCAATTTAAGAGCACTATCCTTTGAATGAGTCAAGAAGTGTTTTACAATTTTGAACAAGTGTGGTCAAATTTGAGGTGAATAATACGAATAGTAGTGGCCCGAAAACAGAACCTTGTGGTATGCCAGATTTCCGTAGTCAAGTGATGAAACTTTGTTACCTAATTAAACTTTTTGAAGCAATAAAAGTGTAGCATAAACCTTATAAAAAGCAGTGATGATATCATTATTTATCGATAGAGGTACTCTGTAAATCCAGATTGTTGACCTGAAAGTAGATTATTGATCGTTGAGTTTTCAACTTGTAAATCTTACCTCAACTCTCCTCCTTTATAAGGTGAAGGAGCAGGGCAGCTAGATCCATCATTGATCTTCAACTGCTGCGCGTAATGCGTCAATTCCCCATGGTTGACTCCCGTTCCTACAACTGCGCATCTGCCTGCGAGGAAAGTGGACGCGACGTAATGTTGAAGAGTCTCCGATGAGATTTTGCCGATCTTGTTCTTGGGGATAAATAGGGAGTTGCCCAGGCCGCTGCGGAAGGCGGCGTTGTGGAGAAGATCGATCGTACGGATCTATACAATAAAATAATGATCAAAAATCAAAGGATACGCTAAATCAAATATACTTGTAGCATTTCCTTTTGGTGTGTCTGTTCCCAAAATTGTTTAAAAAAGGTGCTTATTCTACAAAAACGAACTATTACATATATAACTAAACGCCTTTATTTGTAAGTCTTAAAATAATGACTGACGCATCATTGTTCATTTTAGAAACAGCAGCTCTTATTTAAAAAAAATCTAAATTTGAAACATTAAATATAAGTTTCAATATTAGATGAAAACAAGATCTTAATCAATATTAGCTAAAACAATACTTGTGAAAGACTCGATAATTTAAGATGGGTTTTTTTTAAGATACCTGTATCCTACTGTGAACTTAAAAACTTGTTAATATGTGAATCATATTATACCTTGTGTGAGTTCTACAATTCACCTAATTAATCCACTTATGCAATTATATTATAGTTTATTTTTAAGCTTGTCATTAAGAATGATTGTATTCTTCAGACATTTAGTATATATACATTTTGTGTTCTGGAGATTAGGGATTATGACAATTTCAGGACTGTCCATCTCAGAATTTTGTAATTATAAACATATGAGTGTAGTACCTGTAGACTTCTGGTAGCAATATCCAGCTGCAGCCTATTGGAGAGCTCAGCAACCTCCCAAGGTTTGAACACCTGTTTAGTGGCCACTTCGGTCAAAAAAGGCAGTGCCTGTTCAATAGCTGCTTTGGTACCTTCCAAAGTGTATGCAATTGTCTCCCTATCAGTGGTAGCAGTTATGCTGGCTCCCACTTGCTGGACATTGCGGATGATAGCAAACTGAGATGCGTTTTTGGTAGATAGACCAGCCGCAGTACGGATCACATGGGTGGCTCCAAGGTTGTCACTAGTCTCATTACGACTTCCAGCTCTTTAAGAAAAAAATGGTTTCGAAAATTTGGATTGATTTTAACTGTATATCGTCTTTACACAATAACCAAAAAGTACTTTTTGTCTGATGTTATTACACAACTTTTCTTGAAGTCATTAGTGCTACTTTTCCAGATATTTGGAAAAGGAGCTACAAATACAATTTTTAAAGATGGCAACTGAAACCAAGTAAAAAATTAATTAGTGAGATTAATATAATATCTAAAATTTTTGAATATTTAGTTAATCAGATTCTTTGCTGGTTTGGATAAGAAGCTACCTAATGGGAAGAAAGCAAGTCATAAAAATCAAATATATTTTGTCATCTGAGATAATTATGACATCCGGCGTCCCTTAGGCGAGTCATTTATCTCCACTTCTGTTTAGTTGTTTCATAAATGATGTGTCTGATATTGTGATAAACTTCAAGACGACATTAATAATTTTATTCTCTGGTGACTTCAGTGAAATGCAATATAGGATACATAACACAATTAATTTTCACTAATAACTTGAATCTATAGTCATGGTAAATTTAACATCATAAAAGACCTGTAGGTTCTCATATAAAAATCACATTGAATACATAACCAATAAGGCCATGAAACTATTAGGGGTTTGTTGCTTAAACATTGAAGGACATTGACAACATTTCTTATTTAAAAGACACCTACTGTGCAATAGTCATTTTGTAGTATGCTTGTTCTGTTCGGTCACCTTACTATAAAATTCATATAAAAGCAATAAAACATACAATGGTTTTCAAAGCATATAGTCTGAAAATGTCATCATTACAGATTGATAATGACTTGAACAATCTATTAAGTATGACTCCTCTGGAAAATGCAAAGATTTGTTGATGATTGCACTTTGTACAACTTGTACTGATATATGATCTCCAGACCTTTTATTTAAAATTTACTTCTATGTATCAGCCAGACAAACAAGGCAGTTGTTCTCTGTTAATTGTCACAAAACTATGCCATGCAAGGGTCGATAGGTAAATGATTTACCACTTTAGATATTTCTAATTTAAATTTTAAGACTGCGCTAATGAAACTATTTCAAGTGAATGTATATATATATATATATATATAGGTTGTGGACTTCGTGTGTCTTTTTTTCCTCTCCATCTTTGTTTCCTCAGGTTACACCCGTGTCCGGATGTATGGGCATGTGTCTCTACTTTTGTAGTTGCATATGTGCATTCATTTCGGGCCTGATGAAACCAACCAGCAGAAATACGTATCGCTCAGGTTACCTATCCTATTTTCTGTTTGAATCCACTTTTTGCGGATTTTGTCAATTATTTTCCTATTTTTGTTATATACCTTTTTCCGCATGATAATTTTCTCTTTATATATATATATTAAATGGTTCATTCAAAAATATATTAATATTATGGTCAAGGAGCTCTGAAAAACGTAAAACTTTGATCTTTAGGACAACACTGGGATAGTTAGCTAAACATAAGGATATGCCAGGTCTCAACAATGGTACATCCTGCCAGTTTAAATGTTTTGATAGTAAACTTGTATACATCAGCTGTATTTGCTAATACTTGAGCGAATAAACAATATTGCCTTTCTTACTTGAAGATGATTGAAACCCTGGCAATGCTGGAATCATTTTCAACTGCCGCTACAACTAGTTTATTTGATATTACTGTACTCTTTAGGTCATAGTTTGGGTTGCCGCAAACGGGTAGCGCCTGAGAGTAGCTCCTGGCCTAGAAAAAAAAAACCAAAAAGCTACTTGGATTTGTTACATCACATATTAGTTAGAAAACTCCTAAAATATTTCAAAGGGAAACTTACAGCGACGGTACGCAACAACGGAACTTTGGTGAGAGTTGAGGCCATTTTTTCCTATGAAAAATTAAAATTTGTGAGTTTTTGGATTTATTATGTAATTTTCCGAATGTGAACTTCCTACCTCGATATCCAACCACCGATAAAATGTCAAAATTATTATGTCAGTTGTCACATTCGACATTTATCACGTGTGTGTAATGCCGGTCCCACACGATGCTTCCAATGTTGTGTACAAGTACAACGTTGTTTACAACGTTCGACACTCCACATTTGTGTCCCCTTCACGATGGGTTGAACTTCTTAGTCAGGGGCGTTCAACGCAAGGTGGCGCCAACGTCTATTATCGGTGTCTGTGTCGGGCTTGAACCTTTACAACCGAAGGAAAAATTATACAAAATAAGCGATACAACAATTATTTCGAGCGCCTAAAAATAATTTCAGATCTGTCCTCAGCGATCAAGGCTTAAGTCTATCAGAAGCCTCAAAAATGTCGAAAAACGAAGTTTGACCGTTGTTTGTTTGTTTTGTCGACGATAGCTCCACCGCCACTGTACCGATTTTCAAAAACTTCAGAGCTTTTTCATTTTCATGGTAGTAACCTAGGGACAAAATTTCATCAAAATCGTGAGTCAGAGAAATTTTATTTATGAATGTAATGAGGTGAGCCTTGCATACTGCAAGGCTTACCTCGTTTGTTGCGCAGATATCCTGTTTAACTCAGAAGAGGTGGAGGTAGACCATCGCATAGATTTTCGCCTCGAAAATAGTAGTGTATCCGCCGCCGAGAGGAAAAGATAGTCTAGTGCTAGACCCAAAGACACCAGAACCCTCTTCAGTAATCGAGCCGTCCTTGTACCAGACTTAACCACTTCCTTGGGAGACCTTCCGGATTCCCACTCTTCGCTTGTTGGATAAGGTACGACCTGAAAGCTACTGGTCCAAAATTTGTTGAAGGAGATCTGGTGTGGGTCTACAATCCGCGACGAAGGAAAGATAGATGTTCAAAGGTCAGTGACAATGGGACGATCCCTATGTAATAGTGAAGCTCCTGAACGACGTGGTCGACAGAATCCGGAAGAGCGGCGGGAAGACGAAGGTTGTCGACGGTGGTCAATTGGGGCATTACAAGATCGAGGAGGACTGTTCGACGAGGACTTCAAACGATAAGGGGTGAAGAGTGTCACATCCTGAAGAGTGTACCCAGTATAATGCTATAATTTTGATCGACTTTAAGCTAGTCTTTGACAGCATATATCGGAGAAGATTGGTACAAGAAATGGGTAACTTGAATATCCCAGAAAAGCTTGTAAGACTGGTGAAAATGACAACGGAGGGATGGACAGTAAGAATTGTATCAAAAGAAGGGTTGACTGAGGAAGTACGTATAGATAAAGAAATGATAACGCTCTCCAATATAGACGGCCACAGGAATTAAAGGAACGATTGCTCAAACCATGACTCGACTACTTGGCTATGTGGATGACATTGCTCTTACTGCCAGGAGCAAAATGAGTTTAGAGGAAGCTCTGTGGAAGTTATTTGACGGAGGAAAAAGAAAAGGCTTACAAATAAATAAAGAGAAGGCCGAGTATTTAATGGTAACCAGAGGTATTAATTAATGAACTCAAAATAGGAGAATACCAGTTTGAAAGAGTATCTCAGTTAAAATACTTAGGAGTGTCAGTGATCGACAAAAATGAGGACAGCGGACATCACAGAACGGATGCTGATGGGTAACAGGTCATACTGGAAGTACCACAGATTACTGCATGATAGGAACGTAAGCAAACAAACCAAATTATGGATATATAGAGCTGCAATCAGACCGGTGAGGAGACCATGTGCCTTACAATGAAAGAAAAAGAAAGACTCCCAGTGCTAGAACGCAAAATTATCCAAAGAATTATAGGACCAATAACAGAAGAGGAAGGGTTTAGGCTGCTGAGAAATCATGTAACTATGAAAGTTCTAAATGGATATTGTAATATTTATCAAGTCCCAAAGGTTAAGGTGGACAGGACAAATCGAAAAAAAAGACAATGCTGCGCTATTAAAAGAACTAAATGGAAGAAAACGATAGCTATAGTCAAATACCAGGATTGATGACAGTAGCAGAAGTCATCGTGCGCCACTGTTTTGACGCTGTACCTTTTGATCACAGCGACGTTTACCGACACAAAGAAGCGCCGCATTTTCGAAGATCTCCGCGTAATAGCAGTGGCGTACGATTAGTTTCGCTACTGTCATCAATTTTGGTATTTTACTATAGAACAAGAAGAAGGCCAGAAGTAAGATGGGAAGACATAGACATGCAAGCTTCTGGAATTGAAAGGTGGAGAGAAATTAGAATAGGAAACGCTGGAAGAAGGTGTCAAGTCACATAACAAACTATAAGAGAAGAGAAGCAAGAACAAGCAGAATGGTTCCCCTCATTTAATGAACCTAAAGAGCCCAAGTATGGCGGCAATCATGCTATTATTTACTTTACCATTTCACTGTGCCCATTCCTTACGCGCCCAGTATAATTCAATCTCTCTTCTTGAAGCTAATAAGTTCCAGTGCAAGTGATGATCTGCAAACTTTAAGCAATCCTCATCTTCTAAGAGACGAGACGAGCTGCTGACTTTCTTCGACATAGGAGGGGAGCATGTTTGCAACTCGGCTCTTCAGCATCTTTCACCATCGGTCAATTTGATTGCATTCGTCTGCGGAAGAAGTGACAAAGCGCACGGCGAGCGAAAGTGTAGCCCCACAGTATCGCGGCTCACGGTAGTGAAAGTGATTTGCGATCGGCGATTGACGGTGTCTTGCATCTCTGAAGATGGCTGAGCGCTGGCGCTGTACAGAAAAGGTGCTCGGCAACCACTTTTGGCTGACGCTTTTGGTTTCGTTTGTATTGCAATTCAGCGGAATTCAAGCTCAGCAGCTGATACCGGTAAGCGACTATGTAATGTTCTAGGTATGTTCAAGAAACTTATCTTAAGATAAGACGATGATAGTACGATAAACGTGATCGCCACACAAACTGATCATTGAGTCGTCACACAGACAATTTGGTCGCTAGGTGTCCGGGAAGATATGCTATGTTTAACGATTGTTAGGAAGAGCAGTTTAGAAACTAGGATATCACGTTGCCGTGTCAATAACCAAAAACTCCGACGTTACCCCTGATCCAGAGATAACCGCGCAACAAGTCTACTTTGAACTAACAATCTCTACAAACATCCTTTCATGCGACCCTTTCAGACTCCAGCGGTTGCCAAGAGAATATAGTTAAGCGGCCTTTCAGACGTAGGATGTCACGTCGGCCAACAGCCATCGTGTGAACATGCCAAGCGCTCCGACAACCCCCAGAAAGTGCGGATACTTAATAGCAATAAATAGTAAAGTCGTAAATTAAAATATAGTATATGGTTAGAAATCCATACAGTATAGTAGAACAAAGGAAATAATAAGTGACTGCTCACTTTAAGGTAACCAAAACACTACAGCCAATACCACAGTAAAAAAAAGTTAGGTTCAAAACGCATACTGCTTGATTTCAGAAATGACCGTTATACCGGTGTGCGTGATTATGACGCAATTGAAAGCTTACCCTGGGAACAAGTGCACAGAAAAAAATATCTGTACTACTCAGCTTTCAGAAACTGCTTTCTTCATAAAAACTAAGGGATCACATTTTAACAAAGGTAAACAAAAACAAAGATAAAACGTTGACATTGTTGCACAGCCTAGGTACTTTAAATATACTAAATTATATTGATAAAAAAACAAATTGAAGCAATTATTTTTTCTGGATGTAACACTTCTGTCACTGGGTATATGTCGATAATATAGTCAAAATCACGAAAGATGACTATTACGTCAAACCATAAATTGTACTGAAGTAATCAATGAACGTACGTCGATGATAAAATCACGATGTCAGGAGCATAATGGCAACTTTATATTATGATTTGCGAAGTTAGGTTATTTTTCCTATAATTTTTATTTTCATTTTATTTCATGGTTTTGAGTGATACCTTAATAATAATTTTAGTGGGGAGTTTTTGTTTTGAAAAATACGGTTATGAGTAGAATACCTTAAGACCGGAACATCAAAGACCGCAGTATTATTCGAAAACAACCTAACCTGCTTTAACATAACCTAACTTATTCATCTTTCAAATATGATCGATCATGCAACATGAAAACATCGTCTATATTTGCCGGATACATGCAAATTAGCAATACAGTTTGTTTAGACAATAAAATTCTGTTTGTCTCCGTCTAACAAATCTGAAACTTCATTAAACATATTCACAAATCGTTATCGTTTGTCTTTAGCACGGATTAAAATGATGATGTAATCGTCATCTTTCGTGATTTCGACTATAGCTTCATGTATGATGTCTTCAAATATTTTGCCTGACTGTAATCGTGTATAATGGTGTACAAAATCATTATACGAGTATATGTCGAATACGCGACGGTGCTATTTAAATGCTAGGTATACCACTAGCTATATTTTAATAGAAATAACTATTCAAGTTCAGGGCGAAAATACTACTACTACTTTCAAGAATAAGAAGAATTTAATACATAGATTTGATAATTTCGATGTTTTATAATATTGAACGATTTTCGCAAATCATTGCAAAGTACTGGGTGTAAGATTTGAAATGAATATGAGACAGTCTTTCTCCTTTAGGTTATTTTTCCATTGAATATATCATCAGCATCAGGAAAATGGTATTCTTGGCTTTGCTGGCATACGCATCTTGCTGTCGATATTTTCCAAGATCATTTTGCATAACTACGGCAAAATTTCATTCATGCGGCGCTGATTTCCTTCTAAATTTAGATCTCGCGAAGCAAATCAGTTACTATACTTCCCGTTTCGGCCGTCAAGGCCGAGAAGGCATTTGCCGAATGTGCGCTTTATTATTCCGCAAAAAAACAATCCAAAGAAAAAACTGTGTTTGATACTCAATTCAAATCTTGCGTGAACCCCTTTAGTATAAAGTACTGAACGCTCCATCTGCAAAGAAAATGTCGATCAAACAAGCTTCCAGCTGATTTAAGCCGAATAAATAGTGCATCCCACTGATTTGCGATAAAGCATAATATGTGCAGTACCTATTACTACGAATCGTATAAAACACTCACTTTTGGTTCGCATACGTACATACTATAAATCATCCGAGATGGCGATTAACTGCCTCCAATTTATTAGCCCCGTATAAACGATCAACGACCTCCTTATGTTTACGAACGTTACTTTCACTTTTGGACTCTATCAGCCGTGCAGAAGATTTGCTTCTTTAGATCTTCCTTTTAGACGTTCACTGTACCAGTGGAGTACATCCGTTTTAGAGAAAATACTAGTGAGAACTTTGTGTATTATTTTAGTCTTACTGCTTTGAAGTTGAAAAGAGAATCTCAACAAAAAATGCCAAAGATGGATTATGAACATTATACAAAAAGAGAAGAGAAGAATAAATCATAGTTTTAGATGATCAGATTGTTAAAGAAGTGCTAATCTAGGTATTTTGTGTTCGTGAACGGATGTTGGATCATAACATGTCCGCGCATCTCTCATTAAAGGATTTGAATGTGAAGTTGCACGTTCGTAACTTTTACTTGCAAATTGCTTAATGAGTCGAGACAAGAAAGGAATATCCAGGTCGTGGTGAATGGAGCGTGCAGTATTGTTCGTGAATTTTTTTTTGTATCACTTGCAATTTTGTAATGTGCGTCTTTGCAGCAAACCACCATGCTGCACATGCGTAGGTCATGCTTGGACGTATAATCGATTCGTAAAGGGTGTCCCAAAATTAACGCAAGTTTTGAATTATACTAAGTGACATATAAATCCGAACACCCAGTTTAAATGGTTTTATTTTAATAAAAGTTGGTGAATGTATTTATCTTACTGTAAATAACAAGTGAAAAAATTTTCAGCCTTATCAGTTGGACATTCCGGTTTTTATACTGCTTTTTTTATACTAAGTGACATATAAATCCGAACACCCAGTTTAAATGGTTTTATTTTAATAAAATTTTGTATAAGTACTTAATGAAGCATAATAAGTAAATGATAAAAATTTCAAAATGATTGCACTGCTTTAAAGCCCTTTGACCTTTAATAATGTGTGGATGCACCCTGATGTGCTACGCATTCTCCAACGCGCCTAGGCATGCTTCTGATCAGGTGGTCAATGTCCTCCTGTGGTATCTCATTCCAGGCAACCACCAACTCCTTTCGAAGTGCTTCTAGAGTCTGAGGAGGACGTTGCAAATTGAGCAATCTCTTACCCATCATATCCCACACGTGCTTAATTGGGGATAAGTCGTGAGATCTTGGTGGCCATGGTAACAATGTGACATCATTATGCTGAAAGAGGTCTATTGTGACTCTTGCAACATGTGGTCGGGCATTATCTTGTTGGAAAGTTGGATCTGCCAGGGTGTCAAGATAGGGTAAAAGATGGGGTTCTAGAAACTTCGTGGATATAACGCTGCGCGTTCATGTTACCTCTGATGAAGATTAAAGGTGACCTGGAACCATAAGCCATAGCACCCCAAACCATAACTCCAACAGTGTGATGAACATGTCTTTCAACAAAAAACTGTGGATTCCTGCTTTCACCACGTCGCCTTCTAACCCTGGCACGACTATCGTGCATGCCTAAACAAAATCGAGACTCGTCACTAAAGACAATACTGTTCCATTCCTGATCCCAGAGTGACCGTTGTCTGCACCACTCAAGGCGATTACGTCGGTGTTCTCGAGTTAAAGGGAGGACCCAGTGTGGCCGGTATGAAAACAAGCCAAAACTTCTCATTCGTCGGTAAACACTTCGCATGCCAATAGGTCTTCCGTGTTCTGCAAACCATTCATTTGCAATGGACCTGGTAGTGGAGAAACGGTCCCTTACGGCCAATAATCTTAGGCGGCGATCTTCACGGTCTGTTGTTCTACGGCGGCGTCCAGTGCCCCTTGCTCTTTGCGTACGGCCTTCTCGAAGCCATGCCTGACAACACCTTACCACAGTGTCTACACTTCTTTGCACTCTAACTGCAATTGCCCGAAAAGAAAGTCCAGCTTCCCGAAGTCCCACTATACGGCCCCTATCAAACTCACTAAGTTGACGAAATCGTACAGGTCTCCGTACTCTAGGCATCGTAACCGATCGTAAAGGATGTCAAGAACCAAAATCCGCCAACGTTGATTCTTTACTGCGGCTGAAATATTCATTTTTAGAGCGTTAGTGAATTAAAAAAAGCAGTATAAAAACCGGAATGTCCAACTGATAAGGCTGAAAATTTTTTCACTTGTTATTTACAGTAAGATAAATACATTCACCAACTTTTATTAAAATAAAACCATTTAAACGGGGTGTTCGGATTTATATGTCACTTACTATATTTTCTGATACTAAATTAGTAATGACCACTTCTAGTCTTGTAACAGATGTTGATTGTATTGATTTACGTGAAGTTATTTCTATGACAGAATGAGGAGACAGCGCATTTGTATATGTATACGGCTGTTACTGTAAGCAGATTGAGTCGGATAAAGGTTTCTTTGGGTAATATTAAAAATCATTCTAACAACTCTTTTCTGTAGTACGAATACTCTCTGCACCATACTTGCATGTCCACACCAGTTGGGTTAGATATTGTAACAGTTTGTTTCATTTTGAGTACTGCGAAGTATGATTTATTAATTTCCTTGCAGACTTGATTTATATATTCCCGCCGTGTTAGTTTTTCGTGCACATGCATACCAAGAAAAGTAGTCACATCCGAACAGATATCTTCCGACAAGTACGCTACTATTAAAGAAATACACATGAACCATCTAACTTTTATTTCATATGAGACTGTTGCTCCGTTACCATTCACTGACCTACTTTATCAATCCTGGAGATAATTCTTCAGGTGATGGAG